CTCGAAGTCCAGTCCAGGCGAGTCCTAAAGTGACCGCCGAGCGTAAAGTAGTCACAAACAGAGCATTACAGTTGTGGATCTATCTTCACGTTTTGGGTAAACTAATCACTGGTATCGTTACTTGGACCTTGCTTTTGGGCATGCGCGGCCAACCCGTCTGCGACCGTCTCGCACTTGCCATGTTTAACACCCGCAATCGCCCACACGCGGACGCCCGTACTGATGCCACTGGACTTGAGAACGCAGTCTCCCCCAATTGAACCAATGCGAACACTCTTTACTCATAATAATTTAAGTTAAAATCCAATGATTTGTTACCCCCTAATCATTACAGTGGACGTGTTGAAAAAACTGGAAAGCCATAATGCAAAGTTTGGCACTTATTAAGGTGTCGCAACCAACGCATCATAATAGGTTCATTGGGATAATGAAGTCAAATTATTTGAAAGACAGGCAATATATCGGGAAATTGCGCATAACCAGGATGAATCCTAAGTAGATGAGGAGCAAAGATCATCTACGAGGTCTTTGGCGAATTCAAGAAGAGGTTCCTGTAGAACACGATGCCCCATTCTGTATCGTCACGACACAGCAGGCCTCTCTGTTCACAGAGAAGAAGTCGCTCCCTTGCTAACACAGGCGCCAGCCCTGCTTGTCGTGCCAATTCGCCCGCGGTCAGACCTCTTGAACCATCAGGTGGCAAAAGATCACAGGTCGCTTTCAAGGTGGCCTCTTCCGACTCACTCGCGAGTTGCAGAACCTAGCATAAACGAGCCTACTTCTAGTGACAGGATGTGGTGAGACCCAAAGCAACGGAATGATAACGTACTTTGAGGCCCGAGGGGAAAGTTTTGAGCCGCAAAGGCAATTTCAGCATGGGCATCAGTCGCGCAGCCTCAAGGAGGTCATTGGGAGCGATCAACTGGACACCTCGGGCGCGATTGATGCGACAGTAGGCGGTGGTGAGGTCAATACAGCCGCCACAAACACCTGCTGTGCGCTGCTCCAGCAGAGGTTGAAGCAGACGACATACCTGAGACGCTAGTTGCCGATGGAACGATGAAGAATGAGATGAGACATCTGCGACATCCTCGTTATCCGCCTCATTGACACCCTCCAGACCCATGCTCAGCATAGCCATTCGCAGCTCTGTCATGTCATTTTCGGCTACCTTCGCACCGCTAACTTTCGCAGCTTGGATTCGTTGAGACAAATTTTTCGATAGGGCAACCATCTCCTTCGCATTCTCCATAAGCTTAGAGAGGTCCGTAAAAGCAGTAGCTATGCTACGATCTGTTGAAACCGTTTGTGCTAGCATAGAACGTTCAATGCCTGCAATACCGACGTGTCCTGATCCTGGTGTCGTCGACACCGTCCACACTTTTGCCTATGAGTAAAATCCACATTTAAAGCGCAGGCTCAGGAAGATGGAAGGCAAATAAAAACAACTCACTGCAAGTGTTTCATTTAAGGCAGTATACATAGCATTATGCCCGCCCTGCGTAAACCCGAGGCGAATGTAATCCAATCCAGCTGCCATAGCAACACGGGATGCGCCACTATCAACAATCCAGCCTGCCGACCAGGGAGGCCTTGTAGGCATCGCCTTAACGGCATTTAGGAGTTGAGCAGGTGAAAGCAGATTGAGCACGATTTTCGGTGTTGCAACACCTGAACCTAAAGCATGTTGTAAAGTGACATTGGTCACCGCAGCCAAGGGGATCGACATTGTAGCGTTGCCTTGCTGCCAAATCAACCGATGAGAGGTGAGAGTAAGGCTACCCTTCTCAAAATTTGTGCGGCCGGGTCCATTGTAGAGGGTGACACCGATTTGGCTTGCAACTGAAGATTCACCGTCGGCGAGGCCACTTTCAGCAGCAGTTAAACACCACCGAAAGCGATCCATCTAAACGGTAAATCACAAAATAACGCACAAAACTTCAATGGGAGTGGTCAAGTCAAATGAAGAAGTGATATTCGGAGTTTAACAGAGAAAGCAAGTAGAGTTGAATTATTGCAGTTCGGACACCAGTTACCGAGGTGCTAAACAGCAGTTGTGATCACATCCTCATGACAGTGTTATGTGGAGAGAGGAGTGCCTTATCATCGAAGAAGTAAAACTCGAAGATGACTTTGCCGCCAAGTCAGAACTTTTATGGAGGGTATCGCAACAGATGTCCAAACCTAGGCACGTCATCTTCCCATTAAATCAAAATCACCGTCGTCATAGTCTCAGCTACCACGATGTAGTGAGAGTGGCACCCTATCGTAACAAGGCATTTATTTTTAAGAGCAAGCTAGGTGGAAAAGGGCTGCCTTACTCAGAAAATCCCACAGCTCGACTTAACATAAACGCCGTTTGCTGCTATTCGCTCTACATGAATGAAAAAAAGTAAAACAGGGAATATTGATAGCAAAACTAGCACAAACGGAATCACATACACACATTAAGATGATGAAAAAAAATGCAAAAGTAGTAAGGAATGTATTCTGAAAAAGGAACAGAGTTGATAAGAACAGCAGTGGATGTTTTACAGAGAGGATGATCAAGCAAATATCACAGGTTCCAAAAGGTTTAACCGGCCACTAACTCCGCCTTGCGAGTGTTATGCTGATCGGCTGAACCTAAATGAAGAGAAGGAAAAGTGTTGTCTGAGCTCCGAAATAAAAAAGCGTTGAAAAAGCGCACACGTCGGTAAAACCGAATTCGAGCCTTAATAGACGGGTCGGAGAGATACACTTGTGTAAATAAAAAGGGAATTAAATCCATCAACTAGATATCAAGCTTAAACGGCACCAAACATTGTCCCACCATGGAGGCGTCCAAGGTATGAGGTTTTTCCATGAAATTAGAAAACTAAGGAACACACAAGGTAAAGTAACATTAGTTCGGATTTATAATAATCATGGCACTTCCTGTGCTACCTCCCTACTTACGCGACCCTCTAACAAGACAGCACGACAGCAATTACATTGTTTCTGCATTAGTTTGCCAATGCAAATACACA